CAGAGGTGCAGTGCCCGGATAGGTAGGCTTATCTTGATTGACAGTCTCGCTCGGGCTCGGTAGTAGAGTCAGAGCGCGGTGGCTTTGGCGCTGTCCACACGAGAGCAGGTTCTGAAACGCGCCGTGCGCTCTTGCAGTGTTTGCGCGGTAAGGACGGAGGCTCGACCACTGCTTCTCACCGCCGGAGCGCTCAGGCTGGAAGACCACCTTTCGGCGGACATCCGTTGCGACGAGACAGACTAATTACACTACCGTATCATCCATCTGAGACTTTCCGTGGATTTTTTACGCACGGACCGAGTGGTTCAAAACTTGACAAAGCCTGGTTTCTTCTTCAGGACATTTCTTGGACCATTTTTTCCCAAGTTCAAATGCTTCGCGCAATGGCTATTTTTAATTTTCTGTTTAACTTTGGCAAACATTTTGATTCGGGGTTCATCCCTTTTTAACTTCAAATGTCCACGGCGTATGTATTGTTTGGGGATCTTCTTACTGTCGGAGTTTTTTCCTCCTAAAAAGACAGTCTGAGGGCGCGCTTTGAGCGATTAGAAGATCAAGATGCAAGGGATCGCTTTTACGTGAAGATAGGCTACGTTGAACATGAAGTAAATGTTTTGGTTTCCCAGAAACCTCACCAGGATTTTACAGATCTCTGGTAGAGACGCGCTCTGACAGTCAGTGAACCTCGGTCACAGTTCACGGGTCACGGCCAGTGGAGCGAGGATGTCAAGATAGAGCTTGGAAACGAGACTTCTACATTCGTATCTGAAGCTTACGACTGTTCGGACTAATATTATCGCCAGGACTTTTCTTGAAATCCCATTTTGATGAATCCCCACTGATGGCTGAGTTGATTCACTCTGGATGTTGGACCACAGAAGCAGTTGTGTGACCCTGCAGGGTTGTACCTTGACCGTCCATTTGCATTTTTGTTGACCAATTAATAATGGATCGGATAAACTGTAATGTATGAATGATCTCTTTTTCATTCTCCCTCGAAAATCACAACAACTATTTACATATTTACTTTTACTCTTGACCTTTAGGCCTTAGGTCTTCAGGTTCGATTGTTTCTTTTCCAACCAAAGTTTCTGTGGAATTCCACACAGCTGAAACGGTCCTTAAAAGAACCAGAACGGACTGAATACATACGCACGGACCTTTAAAAGAAGAAGAACAAGAGCAGGACATTAAAGGCTTTCTGGTGGTTTTTCACGGGAAGGCCTGTCCTGCTGACCGATGGAGATCCACTGCAAACACGACCCGTTCGCAGCGATGCACAGTAAGTTCACGGCAGGCTTTCACTGCTGCTGTCAAATCTTTGATTTCTTTCAAAGTTCTCAGAACATTATTTTTCAGAATTAGAAAATCTCAGGTATATACTCGGATTAAAGCTGATGCGCGGTGTGTAGCCTACTATAGCTGGTCAACTTTAAAAAGGCAACTAAAAGACTAAAGGTGAAGTTTTTGCTGTTTTGGCTAATTATTTTGGGAGTTTTCTCTTAGTTAAAGACCGGGTTGCTTTGTTAGAGCTTCAGCCTTCTGTTTGACAATCCCTGGGGGAAGAGATCGCAGTCAAGGCCAGCAGCCAGCGGACACAAACTGAACTTGAACCGCAGCTGAGAATATGGCAGACAGGCTCCGTAACCTTTAAATACTTTGCTTGAGGGTGGCTGTAAACAGGCCACTTGTGAGGCTAAAAACGAAAGCTGAAGTTGCTCACTGTGGCGGAGAGATGTGTGGTCACTCATTCGTGACATGGCGGACACCGGTGGTCCCCCCAAGATACCAGCGTTAAGGGCCCCTTTTCTCTTTCCCTTTCTTTATTTCTTGTTCTTTTAGCCGCCAGCGCGCATACAACAGCTTACACACTTGAAATCATTGCGAATGGGCATTTTGAGTGTGCAAGACATGCATTAGAAATCAAAAAAACATATTGTAATAATTCATAAATATTTATAAATTATGAAAATGTTTTGGTAACAAAGACATCCCAGTGCCTTTGTTACCAAAACCAAGAGCTGCCAATCACATATTATGCATCCTGAAAATACAATTGTGATCTCTTTCTCTCTCTCTCTCTCTCTCTCTCTCCCCAGTCGCTCTCTCGCTCATTCTTTCTTTCTCTTCCAGTCTTCTCTCTCATCGATGAATAAAAACCTCATACGGCAAGCCTTCGCAAAACTCAAATATGCGCGCACCCACCCACACATCTATGTGAAATGACATCTATTGGCACGGTGAATGAAACGGTGGATTAGAGGTATACGCGTTTCAGAAGCTAGAACGAATCACGTTTCCTCTCCGTCACAATATCTCAACCCAATCCGCGGATAAAACGATTACACCGAAAATGTCAAACGGTGCAAGCCTTAAGAATGGACTGTGACACGAACCTGCGAGACTTTTAGGAAAGAAACAGAGAGCAGGAAGACTTTAGGATGTGTTAGACTCATACTCATCTTTCTCATGAATATTAATAAGACTTTGCAGGTTTTAAAAACGTCTGATCATAAAAAATGTGAACTCTTGTACAATTTAAGTTAGCCTATATTTAACACTCCCTCTGGCGCAGTAAATTGGATGTTAGTTACAAGTTGGCCTTCTAAATTTGTTACAGTTTTATGCTAAATTGACAAACGACGAATGCAGACTAATATAATACTATTACATGAATTTTTCGAGACATTTCTGACAGTTTCATCTGTTCTTATTTAAATGTAAGAGGCGAACGCTTAAATATTTATGGTCAGTAACTTAAAAAAACTATTTCAGTTCTATTTAGAAGTAGAGCTTTATGCTAAGATATATATATATATATATTTCTGAAGTGTCATATTGTTCTCTTTCTGTGCTCTGAGTTTCCCTGCGTGTCGTCTGTTAAAAACCATCAGTATTATTTTTAAATATTAAGCTACATTTGATGTAAATTATGCTAAATGTCTTAACAAAATAAATAGGCATTATCAATGGGGCATTAGTTATAATAGGTCATGATAAGATACGTGATTAACTTAAGTAAGCCATATGACAAAATAACAATTAATCTGTCATAATATGATCTGCATAGCCTGCATGTTTATATAAGAAAATTATTTTTTTTGCTGGATTTAAAAAAACTTTTTTTTTTTTTATAAATCCAGCAATCCTCAACGCTTGTACTCAACGGTAGCCTACTTCATATTTATTACTTGAATATGTTTTTTTTCTATACAAGATCATATTTACATTTTAAAATTGAAAATGAGTATCTGTGATTTTAATTTCAAATGCAGGCTTCTTTTCCAAAAACACTGAATTTACCCTGCATGACTGAAGGTAGTCCCTCGTTTCTTTCTTTCTTTCTTTTTTTCTCCATGAGTGTGTTTGTTAAAGCACGCCTGGTGTCACGTCGCTTTGCTGGCGTTTGCTTCGCTCTGTTTGGAGCGGTTTAATCGGAGCGGCCGATAGCGGATCGTAATGGAGCAGCGTCTCTAATCGGGTTTATTTTCTGGATGGGGGAGCATGAGTGTCTTTCAGCCGCTCTCGCTATTTCTGAACGGAACCTGCCTCGAAATCAATCAAAGCTCCAGGAACACTTCGATTTATAAGCCAGCCGTATTTGCAGAAGAAACTGAGTCTTGGTCAGATCACATCTGAATAGCTTGTTTCGGTTAATCCCTAATGCAGCCTTTTCTCTCTCTGTGACTGTGACACACACTTATACTCAAACAAACACACACACTTACTCTCCCATGCACACTCAAACACAAACTTGCACTATGCATAATTTAATTGTATGCATGCTTTGTAACTGTAAAGCAGTGCTGGTAACTAGCTGCAGTTGAAAAAAGTTTAGAAATAGATCAGATAAATTGAAGGTAATTTGATCTAAAAATTCAGAGTGATGCATTTTAAGCTCTTCCTGAGGAAGAGACATTTTATACTCAAGTTTCAAAGTTTCAGTTTGATGGATTTCACTGTGTGCTTCTTCTGTAGTGGGTAGATACAAATATAGTTTTCCACCAAAATTAAAAAAAAGAAATGCTTTGTTTTAAATAATTTGTTAATTTAACAGAAGCTTTTATCAAAAGGACTTACAAATGAGAAATACGACAAACATTTGATCTTAAAAACATGTTTGCACACCTAATTTTTAATGCACATCTTTAAAATATCAATTTAGCTAGCTGACTCCATAACTTCATCACTTTACTCAGAGGTGTTCAAATAATCAACTGTAACTGAAAGGCACATAAGAAAGAAAGAAAAGAGAAAAGGAAACTACAACATTAATAGGAAGGAGAAAAAAAGAGGTTACATGTTACAGTTTTACTAACACACCTCTCAGAAATCTAATAGGTCAAATCACTCACTAAAGGATTTTTATTTAATAGGAAAAAGCTCCTTTTTTTCTTCTTCTTCAGCCCACCGCCTTAAGAGAATGAAAATGACATGTAGCTGGGTTTAAATTTTCTGTTAGCTGAACTTATGTATTTGGGCACACAAGGCCAGTTAAGTCTGTTTGATATTGCTTTCTCGAATGTATTTAAGATCCATTACCCTGTAGCTTGGATTAACAGATACCCTCCAGTTCTTTTGTGTGTGTAAATGTGTGTGTGTGTGTGTGTGTGTGTTCCCCTTCTGAAGCAATCAGTATGTTAATATGACAGATTGACTGGATTACCACATAGACCTCTGCACTGAAATGATGATAAGATACTAATGAATATATATATATATACAGTGCAAGAATGAAACAAAATTGGTATCCAAAAGTCTAAGCCCAACAAGGACATCCAGCCCACCGTGCAAAAAGACACACAACAACGATTACAGACAGACAGACAGACACACACACATACAAATACTAACTTGAGTGAAGAGGTCATGTGCAGTTCTCTAGGTGACCAGATAAAATAAAGAGGACAGGAAGAGACTGCATAATGGTAACCTTCAGGTCAAAGACACACACACACACACACACACTAAAATGAGACAGCAGCTCTTTTTTGCCCACTATGTGTCAGCTTCTGTATTTAAGGAAGATATGATTTGCTCAGGTTCATTTTATTGCTGTTTGTGTCTGCAGGGCATGGAGGGGTGAATCAGCTGGGTGGGGTGTTTGTGAACGGGCGGCCCTTGCCTGACGTGGTGAGGCAGAGGATAGTAGAGTTGGCCCATCAGGGCGTACGTCCGTGTGACATCTCCCGCCAGCTCCGGGTCAGCCACGGCTGCGTCAGCAAGATCCTGGGCAGGTGAGTTCTGCTTCTCGCCAAGAAAAGTGAAGATGACTTTTGAGCTCACATCACTAACAAAACAGTACCAAAAATACCATAGTACCTTACATATGTTTTTTTTTTTTAGAGAAGTACCTTGCATATAACATGTAATAAAAATAGTATTACCATGGTACATGTAGTATATGCTTACCATTCAGTATCACAATAGTACCACCAATTGTGTGGATTCTATTACGTCCATATTCTAATGCTGTATATATTATTTAAAACATTGATATATTATTTAAAATATGATTTCATATGCTAACATTCAAAAGTTTTGGGTCAGTACGTTTTTTTTTTTTTTTTAAATGTGTTTATTCAGCAAGGACACATTAAATTGATCAAAGTAAAGACATTTCTAATGTTTAAAAAAATTATATTTCAAATAAATGCTTTTCAATTGAACTCCTATTCATCAAAGAATCCTGACAAAATGTATCATGCTTTCCAAAAAATATTAAACCGCACAACTTTTTTTCAGAATTGATAATAATGTATCCAGAGCAGCTAATCTTTCTTGAGCACCACTATCTAAAATTATTTCTGAAGGATCAGACACTGAAGACTTGGCAAAGCTGAATTTTCAGCTTTAAAATACATTTTATATTTTATTGATATATATACACTACCGGTAAAAAGTTTGGGATCAGAACGATTTTTTATGTTTTTTACAGGAGTGTCTTCTGCTCATCAAGGCTGCATTTATTTGATCAAAAATACAAGAACAATTTTTATATTGTGAAAAATTATTATGATGTAAAATAATGTTTTTCTATTTGATATACATTAAAATATAATTTATTCCTGTGATCAAAGCTGAATTTTCAGCATCATTACTCCAGTCTTCAGTGTCACATGATCTTCAGAAATCATTCTAATATGCTGATTTATTATCAGAGCTGGAAACAGTTGTGCTGCTTAATATTGTTTTGGAACCTGTGATACTTTTTTTCAGGATTCTTTGGTGAATAAAAAGTCAAAAAGAAGAGCATTTATTTAAAATAGAAATCTTTTCTAACAATATACACTACAGTTCAAAAGTTTGGGGTCGGTAAATTTGTATTCTTTCTTTTTTTGAAAGAAATTAAAACTTTTATTCAGCAAGGATGTGTTAAACTGTTAAGAAGTGATAGCAAAGATTTATATTGTTAGATAAGATTTATATTTTGAATAAATGCTGGTCTTTTAAACTTTTTATTCATCAAAGAATCCTGAAAAAATATCGCAGTTTCCAAAAAAATATTTGGCAGCACAACTGTTGCCAACATTGATAATTCTAATAATAAATCAGCATATTAGAATTATTTCTGAAGGATCATGTGACACTTTATAGTATAGTAAAGAGTAATGGCTGATGGAAATTCAGCATTGCATCACAAAAATAAATTATATTTGAAAGGATATTAAAATAGAAACCATTATTTTATATTGAAATAACATTTTGCAAATCTTACTGATCCCAAACTTTTGACAGGTAGTGTGTGTATATATATATATATATATATATATATATATGTATATATATAAAATTACATTTATTATTTGTATTAAAAATATATAGACAGAAGAGACATCTTTTAAAACAGTATTATAAAAAAATAGTGTAGCAGATTTTTTTTCACTTCTCAAGCTGTAAACAGATTAGCATTTGAGTGGCATTATATTATAATTAAGAGACAATGAGTCTCGCAACTATTGGCAAACATGTGACTAGACATGCTGGACTTTTCATGTGTTAGTATAGAGGTCAAATGACCTCAAAGAGGTCAAGTAATATCTCAGTTTCTTGAGATATTATATGATTATTTCATAGAACAATCTATTGGCAATGTATTGTTGGTGAAATGTGTTTGTAGTCTGCGCTATCGGACACCATGGATAAGTTCCCACACACAGAGTTTGCCTAGTCTCAGACTGAAAAGAATTTTGATTGGAGAATCTCTATTGCCAGTGCTATTTTATCCACAACTAGGCTTAGTCTTTGCCTGGGAAACCAGCTTAATGTCCTCTATTGCATTCAAACAGTGGGGCCAGTATGTGTTTGGAGTCTTGCCTTTAAATGCTTTCCAACCCTCCTTCCGTTCTTTTATCAAGTCAACTTTAACTTAATTCATAATAAATATCAATTTCTGAAATATCCATACACTGATGAATGCTGTCCGTTCGCTTGATATTCCCTCTGCCGTCGGTTCAACTCGAGGCTGACTCAGTGCTTCCTTTCAAAGAAGACACGTTGAAATTCAAAAATTCGCACTGAAGCCAAAGTCAAAGCGCCGTCTTTTCATTTCTGTCCTTCTGGGACAAAAAAGAAAAGATTCATCACATTTTACATTTGCATCAAAATGACACTGGCACCATACGTCTGCCGAGGAGGGAGGGATGGCTGGAAGGACAGAGAGAAGGAGAGAGAGAGCAGGAAAGAGAGGAGGAGAGGGAGGAAGGGGTTAAGGGGGAGGACAGAATTTGAATGGATAAAGGTGTGGATTAGTGCTAGAGCCTTTAGCTATATCAAAAAAATGTGTTTCCCATTGTTCTCCTTTGCCTCAGCCCTCTTCCCCCAGCCCCGGTCCAACTCACTCAACCGTTACTGCGGCGCTCGGTGTGTGTGTGTGTGTGTGTGTGTGTGTGTGCGCGGTAATATCTTCCCTCCCTCTTACTGCTCAGGCAGAAAACACACTAATATGTGGGCTGCAAGTGAGGTTTGAGTAAATAAGGCGTATGACTAACTCTGCTCTCTTGGTAATGAGGGAATTTTCTGCACATTCATTGTGGTGGGCATTTCATGCCTGTGCTTTATGAGCTTACTTTTAGTTTATGTTTGTGTGTTGAACCTTAACTAAACTAAAGCAGTTAGTAACAAGAGATGAATCAGAGCACCTAAAACCCCCTTAACTTTGGTAAAAATCACTACAGTGCATAACCTTTTATGCTTTATAAAACACCAGCAAGAGCAAAATGTATATCATAATGTACACTACCATTCAAAGGGGTCAGTAAGATTTTATTATTTTGTAAGAAATTAATACTTTTATTGAGCAAGGATACATCAAATTGATCAAAAGTGACAGTAAAAAAATATAATAAAATATATATAAAACTGGCACTTTATATATATATATATATATATATATATATAATATAATATAATATAGCTCCAAATTATTTCAAATAAATGCATTTTTTTAACTTTCTATTTATCAAATAATCCTGAAAAAAATGTACCACAGTTTTCACAAAAATATTAAGCAACTGTTTCAACGTTTGCTGATAATAAATGTTTCTTGAGCACCAAATAAGCATATTAGAATAATTATTTATTAATATTAATCATTTAACAATCATTATTTTAGATTTTTCAATAAATGTATTATTACTAATTAATTAAAATTAACGATATAATAGCAACAACAACAACTTAAACTAACAATTATTTCATCATGATCATTTGCTTAAATATAGGCTGTTTACATTTGCCAAGTATCTTAATACAGCATTAATACAGAGTGTGTGGTCACAGGTGTGCGTTTATCTGCATGGCTTTGAAGCGACTCACCCAATCAGAATTTAGATCAGGATCTGTTTTGTAATTTCTGTGTGTATGCCTAAAATATAAGCTTTGATGGTGCTCATTTGTGGCAGTTTTTTGTAAATAGGCTGAACAGATTGATGTTTTTTTTGCAGGTTTGTGAAATGTATGCGTTGTTCTCTGCATCTGTGTGATTAGTAAGCAACTGTGCACTGACTGCAAGTTTCTACAGACCTACGGCGCTGGATAAGCATATGTTCTAACTCTCTGTATATCTTGCCTGGTGATGTACAGCTCTCTATCTCTGCTCCTCAGGTACTATGAGACAGGCAGCATCAGACCAGGGGTGATCGGAGGCTCCAAACCAAAGGTTGCTACACCCAAAGTCGTTGACAAAATCGCTGATTACAAACGCCAAAACCCTACCATGTTTGCCTGGGAGATCCGAGACAGACTTCTGGCAGAGAGAGTGTGTGACAATGACAGTGTGCCCAGCGTCAGCTCAATCAACAGGTGTGTGTGTGTGTGCGCACTGGAAAAATCAGCAATTTAACCCGACACAAACATTTCTGTCTACTTGATTTTTCACAGTGTCAGTGGAAGTGGAACTTTTTAAGATTAATAATTCACTCTAAAGTAGTTTAGAGTGTGTGCATGAAGTTTACTTGTGTACACTACTTTTCAAAAGTTTGGGGTCAGGAAGATTTATTTTAGTTTTTTTATCTGGAAGATAAAGGACATGTAAAGCCATTTACTGATAAAAAAAGCATTTCAAATAAATGCTGTTCTTTTTATCTTTCTATTGATGAAAGAATCCTGACAAAAATGTAGTTTCCACAAAAATATGAAGCAGCATAATTGTTTTCTACATTGATAATAATGAGAAATGTTTCTTGAGCAGCAAATCAGCATATTAGAATGATTTCTGAAGGATCATGTGACACTGAAGACTGGAGTAATGATGCTGAAAATACAGATTTGATCACAGGAATAAATGACATTTTACAATATATTCAAAAAGAAAACAGTTGTTTTAAATTGTAATAATATTTGACAATATTACAGATTTGTTTTTACTGTATTTTTTTTCTTCAAATAAATGCATCCTTGGTGAGTATAACAGACGTTCAAAAACATGTAAAAATGTTGACCACAAACTTTTGGATGGTACTGTAAATGTCCACAAACCATTACGTTTTTAAGAACTAGCTGATCAGTAGATTAGAAAAGGGACAGAGCAATGCACAGAGAAGAGAATAGAGGGAGAGAGACGTGGATAAAGGAAAACAGCAGGAAAAAGAAACACATATTCATGAGCAGTGTCCAGCTCACTGGTTCAACAGCATGTGTACAATGACAACCTTTCTCAGAGAGAGAGAGAGCAAGAGAGAGAGAGAGAGAGAGAGAGAGAGAGGAGAAGGAGGGGGATGAGGAGGGGAGGGGAAAGGTGCTTTGCTTGAGCAGCCATGCAGGAAGTTTGAGACTCTGCTGCTATGTCAGCCTGCATGAGCCACTTCACACACACACACACACACACACACTTCACGTGCTTGCATACTTATATTAAAGCATATACAATACCCACACACCTCTACACACAGCACCTCGCATGATAAATCCTTACACACGTGATAATGCCTGTTTGCTCTTACTTTGCTGCAGGATCATTCGCTTCACGTGCTTGCATACTTATATTAAAGCATATACAATACCCACACACCTCTACACACAGCACCTCGCATGATAAATCCTTACACGCGTGATAATGCCTGTTTGCTCTTACTTTGCTGCAGGATCATTCGCACTAAAGTCCAGCAACCACCTGGCCAATCAGGAGCTGTCTCTGCCCATAACTTAGGTAAGAGTCAAGTTCACATCAACTTTTGTCATATTTCAAACTACTCAAAATGCAAAATTTTGTTCAATCATGACAACTCTCGGAAGAACTTGGAACTTGCTACTGCCAATGCATATGGCGATACAGTGCCGTTAGTATCTAAGACATACTGCTGCTGCACAAATAGCATATAAAATAACCCCGTAGCAGATCGATACAGGTGGAGCTGGGGAAGGTGGAGGGTCAGAGAAACCGCGCTGCAGGAATCTCAAGTGAATGCTAGCCAGCCATATAAATCTAAGGCAGTAAGCTCATTGGCTGCATATGCAGCATGAACCAATCAGCTTGTGCCAAGTCGTTTAACTCTCTGAATATCATCAGTTACGTTAACACCCCGTCAGCCTGCGCCATCTTGAACTATATATTTCTCAAAATGCAACAGAGAAACTGAGCTTCTAAAAAAAAAAGGTGTTGACAGACTACCAGTCAAAGGTTTTTGGGCCAGTAAGTTTTTTTTTTTTTTTTTAAGAAATACATTTATTCAGCAAGGATGCATTAAATTGATCAAAAGTGACAGTAAAGACATTTATAACGTTATAAAAGGTTTAAACTTTCTATTCAACAAAGCATTTATCATTCTATTTATCTATTCATCAATACATCAAATAATCATGAAAAAAATATACCAAGGTCTCTACAAAAATATTGAGCAGCACAACTTTTTTTTATTTTTTATTTTTTAAATTTTTAAATGTTTCTTGAGCAGCATTAGAATGATTTCTGGAGGACCATGTGACACTGAAGACATTTTAAAATATATTAAAATAGAAAAGATTTGTTTGCCAATACTACTGATTTTATTGTATTTCTGATCAAATAAATGATCAAATCTAAGCAGTTTAATACATTGCTGAAACACATGTGAGATCATGTGAAAAAACTGAGAATCAGAAGACCTAAAGAAAAATACTTTAATTTCATTTTTTCTAACAGAAACATTTATTTCCAGAAGGTTTTAATATATCAGTTACCCTGTAACACTCATGTAAGCAGGGCTGTATCTATCATAGACATTGAGGGGGACTGTGATTTTTAAACATTTTCTGTACATTTCGATCTCCCCAATCTTTAACATTTGATTAAATCCTTGAATCTAGCACTGCTGCTCTGACACTCCAATGCTGCCCCCAAAAACCAAAGAGGAATCTCCAAAAATGATCTGAGATGTCGGCAGTTAATAAAGTATTGAACTGCGCTCGTCTCACTGTCAGTAATCTTCATAATCGCACACCTCTGCTTAATCTAAATTAATTTTGCACGCACAATGCTCGCCAGTTCTCCGTCTCCCTCAGATTATGATGATAAATAGTTCTCATACTCAGGCGGAAAATTGAAATTTGGGGATTTCGAATATAAAGCGTTCACTTAGGGTTTCCATCCCTCGACGTGAGGAGAAAAAAAAGTGCAAAAGAATACGAGAATCAGATAATTGAAACGATAAATCGAGAGTAAAAAATTGAGGGATATGCATTCATTACATTTTCCACCTGGTTAACAAACGAAAGCGGCGGGTGAGCAAAGGCGTTTATCTTTTCTCCGAGCGATTTGTTTTCTTTTTTCCCACCTTCTCCATTTTAGCACAGTCTGTTGGGATGTGGGATTAGCCTCATCTCTACACCTTAGTGTCCCCTTGGGGCCACTGTACTGTCACTCAGGCTGTACGTCAGCTGACAGGAAGTGAGATAAAGAGGAGAGAGAAAGAATGAAGCGTTGACAAAGAGAAGACACTATGGCCTCGTCCCCTACCGACCAAAGACCTCACAGACAGCCAGACATGTCGAAAAGCTGTTAGCATCTTATCCTTGGGCGGCAACACGTTGCCAAAATTGAGTGACAGCCGGTTTTTGGTGAAAGCTCTTAGGCATGACTAAAATGGAATAAAAAAATGGAAGACAACTACTGAAAATAAATAAATATATAAATTAATTAAAAATTAATTAATTAAAAGCCTTGAAGAGAAAGCTTTATTAAAGGGATAGTTTATCATTCTATTATTATCATTCTCATCAAATTAATCATAAAAATTATCATTCTATTAATACTCACCCTCATGTTGTTCCAAATCTGACTTATTTTCTTCTTTGGAACACAAAAGAAGATTAGAATGATTACAAGATGAAGAATGGTGGTAACCAAACATTTCAGTTCCCATTTTATTTTATTATTTAATTTTTTATTAGTTTCGTTTATTTTATTATTATTTTTTTTTTAAACGAAAGTCAATGTGAACCCAAACTATCCCTTTAAGTATTTTGCCATAAGTTCATAATTATTATTAAAAAAATAATTGTTATTTTTTTAAAGTCACAAAACTGCCTCACAGCTTTTTAATATTTAAAAAACTTTTGTCTGCCCAATCAAAGTCATTTTGTGCATCCAAAAATGGGTTCAACCAACATGCAGGCAAAAATCTTAAAACAGGAAATGATATCATAGAAAGGACCCCCGCAGGACATTAGAAAAGTGTGTTAAGGTTTATAGCTTAGGCAAGATTAGTTTGGGTTATAGAACGCTATTAATTAATTAATTAATCATAATATTTATTCATGATATTTAGCTTGGAAAAATATTGCAAACGCAAGGTGTAAGCATTTTAAACGTATTTTTTGAAAGATTTTTCTTCATCATGGTCACTCCAAACTGTCATCATATATAGTCCAAAGTGAATGTCAATCAATAGCAATAATGATATCCACCATGTTCATGTATGTTTTAGGACATTTGTGGTCTTCATTAGCTCTCTGTAACTTTCTAGCCTCTCCAGTGACCCAGGTATCCGCAGTAACCAGCGACGCTGCAGGCTCCTCCTACTCCATCAGTGGAATTCTGGGAATCAGCTCACCTGCCGATGCAAGCAAGCGGAAGAGAGATGAAAGTAAGTCTATATGTGCGCTTTGTTTTTGTGAACTGAAAAGGCCTAGGTTTTGAGCGTTTAATTCTCCACCAAACTCACTCTAAACTTAGCCTTTAGTATTTTTAATACGGTTGCATCACAGAGCGAGTTTATTACATGCAGGACATTTAGTAACTAATGAGACATTCTGTCTACAAGCAATTACAGAACAAAAAAATCAATTACATCCTGTATTCAGCCTTCTCCTTCCTTCCTTCCTTCTTTCTTTCATTCCTATGCACAACATCATTTCAATGTACACACACATGCACACAAGCACAGATGGAAGTTGCTGAACATTGACAGATGCATCAGAGCAGGAGGGGGATTGGACACCGCTGGCACGTCTTAGATAAACATCTCTATCCAGGAGAGGCACAGCGTGTGCATGTGGAAGTGTACGTGTGTGTGTTTGCACACATGTGTCTATTAAAAAGCCATTGCTTGGCAGACCCCTGCAGGACATGAGGGAACTCCAGATGTCACCCACACACGCACATACTCACACACACACACACACAATATGACTTATAAAACACCAGACATCAATAATAGAAGATTCCGTTCTGTTTGCTGTCCAGGGTTATTATAGATAAAACTCAAATTGAAACTAAAATTAAAACCATAAAAAAAAAAAAAAAGTTTTGCTACTAAAACTTGGTACTAAAATAACTGAAACTGAAAAAAAATGAAAATAAAAATATGTATACACACACACACACACACATATATATACTATGTATTTTACACCAGTAAAAAATAAATACAGAAAATGTCTTCATATTAATACGATACGTTGTGCCCTATTTTTATGGATTTTTTTTACAGTGTATAATTTTAGCAATAATATATTTAGTTATATGTAAATATAAAGATTTTAAGTTTTGACCACTATACACAGTCAAAAAACAAACAAATCAAAAACGTGAATTTATGGTTAAAAAACAAAAAGCAAAAAAACGAAAACAGCAGCTGTGGTTGCTAGAACCTTACTGTAAAATGGTACCAACATTTTAGGGTTAAATGGACTGAACTTACATTTACAGTAAAAACTGTAAAAATGTCATTAACTGATGAAATGTTAATATTAGATCTTACTACTTTGTTTTGTACTTGTAAAATATACTGATAGCCTCCTTAATAATATAGGTGGTAAAAGAGACAAATGATAAATTAGATTTCATCACAAGTAGATTACTGATGTACAGTTGAGGTATCATGCACAAAACACAAAACACCATCATGGTAATACAATTGATACTAAAATAATGCAATAAACATTAATTAAACAACATAAGATGTAACAAAACTCAGATGTACATAATTGATATCAAAAACTAACAAGAAACATACAGTAACTGTTTAAAATAACATCAAATGTAAATTTTCATGCATTGTGGGAATATCAGTTAACGCTTTTTTTTTACTGTAAATTCAAAAATTACTGTTAATTTTTCCAAATAACTTTTCCAAAGTCTGTACATTTAACAGTATTTTACTGTAAAATTACTTAAAATGCCCTCTTAGATCTATTACAGTTTTTCACCATATATAGTAAAGGAATTTGCTGTTAACCAACTGACAGGTTTTTACCACAGGATTGTTAGTCTTTTACTATTAAAATTACAAACTTTTTTACAGTGTATACAGTATGTAATATAATACAATAATACTCCAGGTAAAATTAACAACATGCATAACTATAGATGCAAAGAAACGTAATGTAACTTTGTAAGCTGACTACTTGCTTAGCTGAACACACACACACACACACACACACATACACACACACATCAACGTTCATCCAAGCTCCAATTAGGCCGACGTCTGCCACTTTAATTAATGCAACACATCACATCCAGCAGCGAGGGAGGGGTGACTAAATGAATTTGTGTGTTTAATTGACATGGTGAAACTGCAGGTGGTCAGTGCTGTGATGTTTTGCAGTATGTGAGCGTGTCTGCGCGCTCGCAGCAAGGGACGATCTCATGGGTTTGCTGAAGGCATAAAGTAACATGAGCGATAGATTTGGCAGCTAGTAGCCTACACTGCTTGCAAATTTTAAAAAGCATAAGGCACGTTAAGGAGTGTGCAGACTGTGTAGGATGGACAAAAATAGGGATTTTTTTCAGCACCTCTTCAGCAGAATTACAGCAAAAGAAATCATATTTCATCCGAGTCAATGTGAGTTTTCCATTTGTATTGAATGTGAAACAGTAACAAGACATGTGCCCCGAATAAGGAAAGAAGTGTTTTTGTATGCGACCTGCGTAGTGAACCATAAACATACAGCGTGACCAGTAGAGACAGATTCCTGCAATGAAGAAGTCTTATGAAACGGTTCTTTTTTGTGAATCAAAAACATACAGTACAACCTGTGAAGACTGATTCTTACAATGAATAAGGTTCTTTGTCGCGATTCAAAAATATACGTACATGATTCTTGCAGCGGATGAGTCTTATAAGCTGGTTCTTTTTAGTGAATCAAAAACATACAGCACAACCAGTGTAGCTCAAATCCAAAAATGAATGACCAGTTCTTTTAATGAATCATTTTTATGAATAAAAGACAAATGACTCATTTGAATTAGTATGTAACACTGTCCTGTCTAATTTACATTATTAGCAAAGAGAGAACTTCTTTCATGTGTATGAAATATGGGCATTATTACTTAAACCCAAATGAATTTCAATGAAACCGTGAGCTTGTGAATCGGAATCGAATAGAGGAATTTGTTTCGAAACCCAGTCCAAAGAAACTGAGAAATTAAATAAAGAAATCTTTCATATACTTCGGTAAATTGCGTCTATGTAATACTAGGAATTTCTATGCTGAGTGGTAATGCTTTCAGAAAGGGAGAGGGAGACAAAATGCATGTTTAGTGAAGCAAGACACTATGATTTCCAGCTGCACACAAGCAGGAAAGGAAGTAACAGAGGGTTTGGATGGCTTAGTGTGTGTGTGTGTGTGTGTGTGTGTGTGTGTGTGTGTGTGTTTGGGGAAAGCCCACTGATGCCCTTTGACCCAGGGGAAGTGATCTGAAAGAGAGAACTTGACTTGTGGGGCCTCTAGAACAGAAGCATTGTGTCTGCCCATTGTCTCTGAACGGAGGAGGAATGGACGAGGGGAGGAGTGGAGGAAAGGAGAAACAGAATAAAGAAAGACAGGAGGCCTGTGGTACGGGCCAGAGGGGTCGGACAATGTTCTCTTTGCCCCCTGAAACAATAAAGAAACCTTTCTTTAAGGTAACAGCTTCAAAACGTGAAGGAAAAAAGGCAAAAAAAATACACATTTATAGTTGTTATTCTGTTAAATTTAACAAACAGGACCTGGATATTTGTATCCGCAGTGGACACCATCAAGACAGATGTCATTTTCTCTGCCATTTAATATGTTCACTTCTCGTCCAGTTTTATTTCAGTCATTTTTATCTCCTTCATTCTGTGGATTATTCTGATTGAAAGATAGAGGACATTTTTAATAAGGTGGGGAGTGTGAAAGAGAGGTGGAGCGAGAGAGAGAGAGAGAGAGAGAGAGAGAGAGGGAGACAGGATAGGGGATAGATGATAACAGTGGGATTTGTTAAAGGTTGGTATCCCCCTTTCAGAGACTCATACTTTGATCCGTCAAGGTTGAAACACACACACACACACACACACACACACACACACACACACACTACGTGTATCAAGTGCACAAGGAATCCACTGAGCCACTGAGTCTGCTCCCAAAAAACCTTCAAACTCACCCCTGAGAGAAAGAGAGAGGAAGACGGAAAGAGACAGAGGGGCACAATGGTGATCTCATTGTTGCTATTGTCTCTGCTTTTGAAGCAAGGAAGATGCCTCTCCTCCATTCTCCTTCTATGTGTGTGTGTGTGTGTGAATAGCACACACACACACACACACACACACACACACACTACGTGTATCAAGTGCACAAGGAATCCACTGAGCAGTTTTCTCTGCTCCCAAAAAACCTTCAAACTCACCCCTGAGAGAAAGAGAGAGGAAGACGGAAAGAGACAGAGGGGCACAATGGTGATCTCATTGTTGCTATTGTCTCTGCTTTTGAAGCAAGGAAGATGCCTCTCCTCCATTCTCCTTCTATGTGTGTGTGTGTGTGTGAATAGTGGGGTTAACCCTGAATGCAGCCGGGCTGTATTGTGTCTGGTTACAGAGAGTGGTTCCCTATAGCAGGTTCAGAGGCTGAAAGACAAAAGGCCAGAGAAACACTCGCCAACATCTGAATATCTAAGACCAATAAGTCTGTTTGTGTGCATGTGGTTTGTTTTGGGGGATTTGAAACTTGAAGGTTGGTTAAACGTGATGCTGGTATGTTTGTTTAAATTTGGTGAAAAATAGCTTTATTGGCGACCTCTCTTCTTTCTGTCTCTCTTTTGGCTCTGATATGGCTGAGTGGGCTTCCAGATCTCTCCGAAATTGCATTTGCTGACAGTGTGAAAGAGTTACACGCATAACACACACATGAACAGTCACAGATAAACATGTATCTGTGTAATAATAACGACTGAAAAAATCCATAACATTGTTCTGACATTCAATGGCTATGTTTTCACAAGTTAAATTGATTCCAGAAGGATATGGATGTTTGAAGACATCTGAAGCAGCAGCAGTTTAAGTGGAAATTTTGTGACTGTACAGTACGTTGTTAAGGTACAGTCGCATTTACTTGTGTTAAGCGAAGGGTGAAAGACGCCCATATGCAGATTCATATGATCAAACTTGTGGAATTCAAGCCAACTTGAGTGCTGCTGTCTTTGAAAGAAAAGGGGGACAACCAATTACAAAGAAATTCTGAATTTCATGTAAATTACATTTTTAAGCTGATAACATAATTTGTCATAAAACAAATGTCGTATTCAATTGGAAAAATGCAAAATAAATGCATTTTCACTCACGGTCTCGGGTGTTTTGGCCCCTACTGATGCATAAATAAACAACCATGCACACAAACACTGCAGAGAGTGGCAGTTTACAAACGGACATTTTTTTTTTTGGCCTCTGACTCTAACTCCCTAGAATAACCTCTCAGAGAAAATGAATGAATTGGCTCTATATCAGGGATTTTCGTTTCTATTCTTCTTTTTTTCATCCCTCTCTCTCTCTCTCTCTCTCTCTCTTTTTCTCTCCCTGTAATCATTTGAGGGCTGTAGCTTTCTCAGCTCTTATAATTGTCTCTTCAGAAACTCAACAGCCCAGTAATAACTGACTCACGTGTTGCCTTAACACTCACTCAGAGAGGAGGATGCAAGTCCAGGAATCTGTGTTTGTGTGCTTGAGTCTCTGTATGTTAGTTTCCAGAAAAGTAAGAGTACCCAACCTTATGATCATGATGACAAAGAGAAATAAATCACTATTATTATTATTTTTTTGTGGCAGGAAAGCGACTGATGCTGTAGGTCATGTGACAATGCTAACTTGGAGAATGTAGTACTTTTTTTAATGATTACGAAGTAATTTCTGCTCAGAGTGTATGCCATTTTGGATGCCGCTATAGAGTTTCAGATACCTAAAAATATGTTGTAACAAATGAGATTGAAGTGGATGACTTTATTTAAAGCAACAGTTAAGAGGGTCGTTCACCCATAGGCCATAATTTATTTAAAAAATGTAAAAAAAAAAATCCACTTTTGTTTAGATCATTATAGCTCTAAAAATATTTTTTATGCTGATTGTTTTTTAAGGTTATATTTTAATATTGAAACTCTGGGCCAAGGGAAAGAGTCCACCAATAGTTTTGATATAAAATCTGTTGATAAAAAAAAAAAAAATCAACTCCTGGGACATAAACGTGCCTGAAGTTGAAGAAGCACCCATATGTTGACTACCATGAACTAACAATAAACCTGATGAGTTTACCATTTCTGGTCAAAATTTTGGGGGCGAAATAGTCACTCCAATTGGAATCCATGGCATCAGGAGTTTCTCGTGAGGGCGCAAAAAGTTCCTCATGTGGATTTTACTCATTTTCAAGTTGTCGCACTTGGTTTGAAACTGACTTCTGTGTGAGCTGTGCTTTACACATTGCTACACTGCTGACATCAGATAAAGCACCTTGTTTGCCTGCAAACAAGTAAAGTTTGTTTATAGTTATTTTCACTACATCTAAAACTCAAGCTTGTGCGTAAAAAGCACTCTCATTCTTAAATGTCCTACAAGTTACATTGTACTTTATTGCTTCTTTTTGAAATCTGTTTGAATCTCTCTCCAGCTCTACAGGATTCTCCATTGGCGAATGGCCACGCCCATTCAGGGAGGGACTTCTTGCGGAAGC